AAAAAAACATGTTTACAGCCTGGTTCAAAAAATTATTTTGGTCTATATAGCTAATTTTGCCCTTCATGACAACTGTGAGGGGGGTGAATTTGTTTATAACTCATCCGTTTAAATTATATTAAGCCTTAAATTTCTGCATAATTAAGGGCGTGGCCACTTGAGTGACAGGTGGATTGCCACCGGCGAGCTAGGTGGGAGTGGCCTCAGCAACCTGCTCCCGCCTCTTTATCCGGGAGTGACGCGCGGTGACGCGCTGCCAAGATGGCGACGGCCCGCTCCGCCCACTTTGAGCTTTAAAAACGCCCTTCGGAAATCTACGAGTGATGTCACGGACAATACCTCCATGTTTTTATACAGTCTATGTACGCAACATGTAAAAAGACAGTAGAAGTCATTATGATCAGTAATTATGTCCCCACTGGATGCAACAAATGCCTAATTTGTAATGGGTTTTGTCTCGTCGTGCTGGGAGACGGCATCACAATATGGTAAGGAACATAACATTTCCGTCACACCCTTGAGGCATTTGGCCAATCACAACGCACTGGATAGCTGGCCAATCAGAGCACACCTCGCTTTATTAGAACGATGAGCTTTGTAAAAATCGATAATAATATTAATGACAATAATGTACATTATATGGAAAATAATGTGTTTTTTGAACCTTAAACCGCATAAACATATTATATTACACCAAATACACCAAATAATTTTCTTTTTAACAACGTCATATGACCCCTTTAACCCGGGGAGAGCGGCGTTATAACGGTTCGTTACCAAGCCAGATCTCCACTGCTACGCCATTGTTTTCATCGATTATGTAACATGGTCATACACGTGAGTCCAGTCGCATCCTCGGCTAGGCTGGCGTCATGACCACGCCCATTGACCAATCATACTGTCACGGGGAGAACGCTCCGACCAATGGGAGTCGAGAAGGCGTGGCTCCGGTCGGCCAGACTCACGTGGGGCTGATGTGTTGTGGATGGAGGGACTCGCGAGAAACTGGAGCAAGTGATTATTGAACATAAACATCAAGTAAGTACTCCTCTTTAACGCATCTCAAGCGCACGAAACAGATTTATAGATATAATTGTGCTGTGATATTCAAGAGAGTTTAATACGCCAAGACTTCGACGATTAACTCCTACGATTTAAGGTATACCACGTTATGATTACGTTATTAATTATCTATATCATATAATCACCAGCATTCACTTATTATGCATCAAATATATGATAATCTCTTTGTTTTGTTTTTTTGGTGAAACATTGCGTTAGGTTATGCATGTAACTCTGCGCATGCGCACCGCCCATCTGACTTGTCATTTACTATTAAATGACCGATTTCATTTAAACTTTTATGTTTTTGTCATTTTGGCGGGTCTGTGTGAGATGTTCGGGTCGGACAGAGGGAATTAGGTGAATATCTTTCTGTAAGTAGACTGTAAGTGGCCGTGCATGTGCAATGGCGGGGGTGAGCAACAGTATCACAAACATTCTGTCTTGTGGGTTTGTTATTAATGTGGAAACTATAGAGGGTCTTTTTTGTTGTTGTTTTTTCTCAAGTGAATCCTAAATGATGTGTGAATACGCCAAGTGTGATAGTGGGGGGTCTGTTGCTTAATATCAAAATATCATCTTGTGAAATAAGCAATTATATACCTTTGCATGAGCTACAATGAGTTATTATTAGTGTTTAATTTCTTAAGGTGGTTCTTCAGAACTTAGGAGTTTTATGAATGAGCCAGGACAGTACTTTGTTATCATTTATTATTGAAAATTTGATATTGTGAATAACCACCTGTATCCTATTTGAACCAGTAGCCTAATGTTCATGTGAGAATCAGTCAGGTTACACAGTCATGGAAATGTGTGGTCAACTGTTATGGATTTTCCCATGGATGATGCCAGTAATTAGAGAGCAGGGTGGATGCGAATGCAGCCTAATGCAACTTTGAACAAATATTCTATGCAATATTTACTGAAATGTCGTCATATTTTGAGAAACTGCACATTATCAAGAAATCGGTGAAACTGGCACTGTTAATCAGGCATGTCTGGTTAGGAAAAATGTGGCCAAATATTAACAATATCATCCTTTAAAGAAGGCCAAATAATTGCCAAATATCAGCAGATGTATCACAAACCAGGGTTGAGGGTCTGAGTGTCAGATGCGTACCAAATATAGTCATTTAAACAATTATTTTTTTGATGGTGAAATGCATTCTCTAGACATATCCCACACAACTATAAGCTATAGGGTGACCAGACATCCCCGTTTTCTGGGGACAGTCCTGGTTTTTGGTGTCCTGTCCCCGCCTGGAGCGGTCATATTAATACAGGTGCATCTCAATAAATTAGAATGTCGTGGAAAAGTTCATTTATTTCAGTAATTCAATCTCAACAAATTAGAATACTTCATAAGACCAATAAAAAAAACATTTTTAGTGAATTGTTGGCATTCTGGAAAGTATGTTCATTTACTGTACATGTACTCAATACTTGGTAGGGGCTCCTTTTGCTTTAATTACTGCCTCAATTCGGCGTGGCATGGAGGTGATCAGTTTGTGGCACTGCTGAGGTGGTATGGAAGCCCAGGTTTCTTTGACAGTGGCCTTCAGATCATCTGCATTTTTTGGTCTCTTGTTTCTCATTTTCCTCTTGACAATACCCCATAGATTCTCTATGGGGTTCAG